TTGCCGTTTACTCCAGGAAAATCCTATTTTTGGCCAAAATGAAGAGTTATTATGACTTTAATAAGCGTTCCATTCTCAATTTGCAAACCAGTCAATGTGTCCTTATTAAGTAATTTCTAAGAGACTTGTTTTCAATTTCAAATTTCAAAAATTTTATGTGAATTACCCATGCTTGGACCATATCCACCTTTAGTTTGCACGTGCTTTACAAATCTATCGAGAAATTAGCCAATCATATCGAATATATGTGACTTTGACATGTTCTATCTTGTCCTACCATGAAAACAATTTCTACACATCATGATTCTTAAAGAAATTTAAATTACAATCAATAAATCCCTATCTTTTTACTTATTTGATTCCGTTTTTATAATTATCTGCAAATAGTGAAAGTGTAAGTAATTTACTTTTCAGCACAGGTGCCTCGTAGGACGGCGTACAGCTCTGGTGACTCCGGCTATCAGGACAGGCTAGTGTGTTCTCACACACTCCCTCTAGTGTTCAAGTAAGTGCATATCGCCAGATTCTCTTCATAGCATCACTTATCCACATTTGTTTGCTTTAAATTTGTATAATATTATATGAAAATTCAAAGCACTCTTCCTTTATTTTATATACATGTATTTATAATACAATGCAAGTAGGCAATCTGTTATCTGATTTAAAGTTTGGTTGAATATAAAAATGACGTGAATTTGGTTTCACCTGTCGTCCGTCCTGTTGTTGCCTGGCAAAGATGTTTAAGGTGTTAAAGGCTTGTGAATTCCAGTGAAAACCATAAGAACCGGGGGGTCTTTACTACTTCATTCTTGACATTCTCCTGTCCTAATACTGAGAAGTAAACACGTCCGTGAACAAAATGTTATCAGAAAGTCAGGTGACTATAGAGTAACTTTAAATACAATATCAGAGCCTGTATTAATAAACTGGTTCATTTTTATTCTCTTCTGTACATGTAACAAGTGCCTCGTAGTGCGGCGTTCAGCTCAGGTGACTCCGGCTCTATCGGGGCGAGTGAGGTGTGTTCTCATATACGTCCAAGTGTATACAGTTAGTGCAAGGTTTAAGGCAAACATTTTAAAAGCCCCAGACTGTCAGTGAGACCCTAGGCAACAAAGGTTTAATATTCTTGACGGTATGGATACATGTAGGAGACCAGCTGCATAATAACGTAAATACTCACAGTACAAAAAAGTCAAGAGTGTATTTGCTTTGCTAACCCTGCTTAAAACGAGTAAAAGACTTTGCATAATCGACATTGCAACATTGCCATTAGTGCGTTTCACCTTGGACATAATTTTCATGTCCAAGGTTTCACGAACGATTACACTGCCGAACGTTAGCTGTCTTCCGATAGCAATCTACGAGTAAATTACGCTGTTTAGTAAATTCATGGACAAGCCATATCGGCTTGTGTCGTTATTTAGAACCATTTATTGAAGTTTTTTCCCATCATGATTGAAGAGAGGAAATTAACAATTATTATTGTTGAACTTGCATATTTTACACTGTTGACACGCATGCTTTTAAGTTACAGTGTAATATAGATGGATATTTCATTCTATCATCAGGTCTTTTGACATAATCTAGTGTAATGATCGTATCTTTTTATATAGAAAAATAGAAATTTAGTTCCAGTGCCTAGTCTTGATAATGAGGGGGATTGCACGATGAGGTCTGGAACATTCCACCTGCACTCAAAATAGAATGATTGCGACTGATGACTTACCGAAAAATCACTTTGGTGTCAGAGAGAAAGGGAGAGTTCTTTAGCAAGTTATACTCTACCGGTACTCGATCGAAACGGGTTTGTTGTTTGGACGTCCGATTTCAGTATTTTATTTGAATTTTCTGACTAACATACATTTGTCTGAAGCCATGCACAGTTTGAACTAAATTCCTGATAATGCATTAAAGGTCATGAATGTCGTGGACCAATTTCAATTTTTCACAATATTCACGTTCACGTCATATGGTAATGTAATCAATCGTGTGTTTGACAATTCCAACTCGTTGTAATAGCAAACGCGCTTAACAAAAATAATTTAATATAGCCACAACAAATAGTCAAATAGATTATTCATTTATGTTTAGATGGATAGATGAACGTGAATGAACCTATCGATGCTGAAATGTATTTTGAACACTTGCTTGACTAACATAAGCTACAGCTATTGATGTAAAAAAATCGGAATGACTTTGATGTCCTAGACACAATGAAGAAATTTATGACATCTGGCACGTTTGTTAGACTCTCCAAGGTATGTTTTCTTCCTAAATATCGGCATATTGGTTTTCATCAGAAAATCCTTTAATGCTGGTAAAATTATTTATTTTCAGTATTGACTTCCTATAACATAAAACCTGGGTTCATTGCACACATCGAATTATTGATCTCAACTTGGGAATGTGTTTTGTTACATCTATAATGATGTTTTTTTAATATAATTGCACACATCAAGTTATTGATCTTAACGATTCGATCTCAACTTGACATTGTGTTGTGTTACATCTATATTGATGTTTTTTATAATTACAAAAGCATTAATTTTACTATGGAGAAGTCCTGGGTGGTTGATTTACACCTGGTAGGGTTCTCCAGGGTGAACGACAGACGCGATCATCAATTTATGCACAACCGACATAAGACAGCAACTTGAACACGGCGCATCGTTGGTCTACACAAAACTGTTGATTAATCTTCAAAAAGGATGAATTGTTGACTTTTGATGTAATTATCTTCATAATATGAGGTGACGTAGAATTTCACCAAAGTACCAAATCGATTTGGACATGAGTTTTTGTGAATATTCTATTGCAGTGTTGACTTTATATGAGGGCATTTGAAACCAACACGTCTGCCATCTTAGAAGTTTTGGGTCATGGAATCTAATCATAACAAGGCACATAGTCAAGGAATCATGTGGGCTTTGATATACATTGCTTTCCAATTTTACCGTTTATAACCCCTAAGAAAATTAAAGAAATCAGTCAATCAGGTAATGGGCTATATCATATGCCAATAGGAACTCAACAGCTCAAGAAGTAACAGTCTACTTTACAGACACATGGAGAAATTTGGGTACCGAAACTGATTCCAACGGTATTTTACGACAGTGATGGCATTCAAAAAGTTCCACGAAGTCTCCAGTGACAATTTTCTAACGTGTCACATCTGTCTTCGCGAGTATGAAGACCCGCGTGTCCTCCCATGCTATCACACTTTCTGCCTGGCTTGCCTTGCCCAGCACGTGGCAGTGAGTGGGACGGGAGGCAACATCACGTGTCCAGTGTGCCGCCAAGAGGCACCTGTTCCACCAGGTGGACTGGATAAACTTGTCCGTAACTTCTTTTTGTCCAAGAGGACAATGTTGGACATGTTGACAAAAGAAAGTAAAGACAAAATGTGTGGAAACTGTCACTCACAAGTTACTCAATTTTACTGTCAAAATTGCAAACATTTTTTCTGTGAGATCTGTCGACAAAAACAGCATGACGCCATGTTTTTTTTGCAGGGACACACAATGATCGCAGTATCTGAATTGAGTAAGCATGTCCAAGAAATGAAGGGCGTAACATTACCTTGCGATAAGCACGAAGAAGAAAGGTTGAAATTTTATTGCACAGATGACGATGTTGTTGTGTGTCGTGACTGTATTCTCACCAAACACAACAAACACAATTGTGTAGACATTGCAGATATAGCAGAAACGCATAAAAAGAAAATAGAAAGCGCCTTTAACAATCTATCTAAGAACATTTCACTGTTTGAAAATGCAGAATCGGAAATATCCATACAACAGAAAGCTGCGTTTGACGACGAAAGCAAAACGGTGACCGACATAGAACAACAAGAGGTGGATATTATAGAAGAGGTTCAGCGTATTTCTGCTCAGTTGATAGCGGAAGCAAAAGACCACGCCTCGACGCTCGAAAAATCACTCGAAGCTGAGAAAGATGGCGTTCAACTACAGAAGGTGTCCATTCAAAGAACATGTGAGTTTGCCAAGCAGCTTGTTCAACATGGCTCCGACACGGAAGTAATGATGCACGCTAAAAATATCCAAGCTAGGATAAAAGAGCTGAGCAAACTTAAACCCACTTTTCCGGCAAAAACGACAGACATCACCTCTAATGAAGAAAAAATTCCAGTGAAATGTTTTGTTCTTGTGAAGAAGTATAAATGGCTAAATACTGCATCTTTGGTGAATGAGTTTGATAGCAGCATTGGATATTTATCGGGCACATCATGCAGTCAAAGTGGGACAATATATCTAGTTTATAACCAGCCGGGTAAACTTACTGCAATATCACCATCTCATAAGGCGATATTTGAGGTTGAAGTACCAGATCCCAGAGGTGTCACCGTGCTCAGTGATGACAGACTGGTGGTTACGTGTGATGATGGATGCCGAGTGTATTCCTTCTCCGGGGAACATGTCCAAACGTTTGGTCAGGGTGACATGGCTACACCGTGGGGTGTTACAGTGGACAACAATGGACACATACTTGTCTGCGATAGGACCGATAAATGTATCTGTGTGTATGACGCTGTGCAGTACAATCTTATCAATAAGATCGCTGTTCCTATATGTAAAGACCCACGATACATTGCAGTGCTCCCATGTCGTGACACCATTGTGGTTAGTGACTTTGATGAACACTGCGTATATGGAGTGACCCCCCAGGGCGATGTAGTGTTCCAGTATGGTACACCAGGGAAGATGGGCTCAGATGATGGATACCTGGACTACCCCTGGGGAGTGTGTACAGACAGCGTGGGTCACATCTTCGTTGCTGACCAGTACAATAACAGGGTGGTTGTTCTGACCTCAGATGGTCAACTGTTAAGATATGTTGTGGGTCCACAACACGTTTCAGTACCAACGGGTGTGGCCATTGATAACAAAGGACAGCTTGTAGTGGGGGAGAATGGAAGACAGGTGAAAATATTTCGCTATATGCATTGTTCATGAAGTGATTGCATTCGTATTCCTGGCATTTAAAAGGCATTAAAATTTTCAGCATATATCTAATTGATTTGAATATTTAAAAAATTAAAATGCATTCCCGAAAGGGAATGGCTTTGTGGCTTAAGCAATCACGTTCGTTTAAAAGAAAGGCATGTTAAAGAAATTATAATGGAAATATTTTATCTTGAACAAATTATGATAATTGTTGTGCATTCACAAAAGTATCTGTTCATTCCACGTAGTTTCAATTATTAATCTCAACAATCAGCTGCTCTTTCGATCACAGGAGACGGCAATTCTTTTCTCGCCTCCAGATGGCGCTATAGTATTTGTTTCATTTGTCAAACATGGGAAAACTATTCAGATAAGAGCATGCAGTGGACCATAAAGGCAGTCAGTAACCCACATAATGTCGTTTCAATGAGGGGTGGGGTGGCGTCTAGATTTTTTTCCTCGGGTATATTTTCAAATATAGGCCCTACCAATGACGAATGCGTTCTACGTATTTCTATGTTATCAAATTTTAAATGCAGTTTCATCTGTCAGATATGAAGTGAGTGTTGAATAAATAAACATAAATAAAAATAGACATGATCAATACTGGTGTCGAATGTTTCCGCGGCATTTCCCCAGGTACGGTGCCGTGTCCTCCACGTTTAACGCGGAGAAAAGAAAAATGTACTAGACTTCTTATTGAACATATTGATTTCTTTGGTAAAATATTATGGTCACAATCGTGTCTTACTTCAGATATTGCCAAGCAGTGGGGAAATGCTGTGGAGTGACCAGTTTAATCCATCTGTCGATGTATAAAGATAACGATTGATAGTCGAAATAAAAAACAATTCAGTATAGATATGTAACAATTGTTTGGTTGTACTTACTAGTACATCACACGTCTTGTTGCTGTTTGGTAGACGGATTGAGAGTAAATCTTCCAGCAAAGCCACAATGTACAAAGAGGCATGGCACTCCGAAGCACCGCCATCTTCCAGTGAGCGCTTGTCACATCCAGATTTGTATGGCAATACACAAGAGCACGTGACCTCAATCGAGCTCAGCCTTCTGGGAAATTGAAACGGCACGCGTGTCTCTGTCGCAATCCCTATCTATCACATTCCACGTCAAGCTGCCTTCATGAACACCAATATCTCAAAGCATGTACTTATTTAGAAAACATCAATTTCGAATGTCAATATTAAAACGCGAATTCATCCAATTTGTAATAAAACATTACGGTCTTGATAATCAGTTATCGTATTAAAATCGATAGTTTCCCCACGTATATCTATCATCTAAGAAGATAACTATTATCTTAGCGAACTATTTGGCAAGCGTTGACGTCTTTTAAGCTTTCGAGGAGTTTTTTTTTTTTTTTTTTTTTTTTTTTGCACATGATTCCTTCTGCATTTATTTTCCAACAAAATTAACTTTTAAGCCTAGGTTCTCAGTGCTGTTGCCTTACGCCCTCCGCGCGACTGCTTTGAAGATTGGTACGTGGACGGCACAGTCCCCTACACTTTTAAGCACCATGTGGTCAGAGAAAAGACACCTGAAATTTTAAACATCTTTTTCTTGTTGCTATGCTTCTTAAAACCACCGAAGGCGGGTGGGAACGAGACCAAGAACGGGTTCAACCATTTCACGGGTATCTGAAGTCCACTGAAGACATTCTGACTCGGGATATAGTGAACAAGCTAGTTTTACCTTTCCATGTGTTATATTAGCTTTACAGCATTGCTGAGGTGGGTTATATATGGAATCAAGATGGAGCCGGCAATATCGATGTCTAGAACCTAGGGAACCGAACGAAACCACTGCGGGAAGCGTGCGTTGCGGCCTAAGGGATTATGATTTTTGTAAAATTTGTCAAAAGTTTTAGCTTGACAAGATCTTAGAGGCTACAGAGGCCGTGAATCTGAACGATTTTGTACGACCATCTCCTGCTTCCCCACGAGAAGGGACTAAAGTGCAGTATACCAGCACGGGCATCGCATGACAAATGTAACCTAGGCTTTATTTTCACAAACATGCATCAGTTCTATAGACCTTTTTTCTAACACAAAACTTACTGAAGACAACAGCTGTCAGAGAGTTAACTCACGGCCGTCTCTAAAAGGTGTAAATAACTAAAAAAATAAACAACAAATATATTTGTATATTTATTTCCCTCCACGTTTCACACTATGGACGACATCAATACAAATGTCAATATACAAGTGTACAAAGACGTATATTGCATGCACCTATACATAACATGGCACCAAAAGAAAATAAGTAATTCAAATGACCCTACCAGCTTGTTATATTTATTTTTAATTTTCTGGCGATCCCATGCCGAAACACGAAAAGGCTTGGCATCTAAGACTGAAGCCTCTAAGAAGCACTAATGGGATTCAAACACAAAAGTATTCCAATCCCTTCACAAATTTTAGGATTTTGCAAAAAGTGTAATGATTGAATTTACAAAATAAAAAGAATACCACAGTTCTAGTGTAATGCACGTTTTCAGAGTACTAGTAATTATATAAGAAGCACTTATTTGTATATGAATGAAAATACTTATGAAGCTTCAAGCACATACATGCATACATAACATGTCCCAGATATGATTGATTTACTTTGCACTCGCACCACGCACTTGTCGTTAATACATGTACATGTACCAGTACGAGTCAATATCTAACAAGGATCAACATATTAAACATTATCACTGTCAAAATAAATTGCAAGGAAAGCCAAAACTCAAGCAAAAAATAAAAATAATCAATCTGATCTCAAATTCCCAATTGTTTTTAACAGCTGTATCTGCCGAAAGAGAGAAAAATACACATTGTCTATTTACAAAACGGCAGTGTTGTTAATAAATACCACAAATTATACTTTTATATTTACAAGCAAGTGCAGTACATATGCATTACATAATATACATACATGTACATATTTCACTTTCACTTTTTCATTTACATACAGTAACTCCACTGAAAAGCAAGCTTTACAACTTAACAAATTAAAGTATAATGGACATAAATGACATACATTCAGCTGTTTATGACTTGTATACAGAATTGCACATGTATCCCTAAAGACTGACGATATGTGAAAAGCACATTGACAAGTGCAAATATTTCAGTTGCCCTCATAAAACGCACATCTGCACTATTTCTGTTTAACATGATAATGGGTACAAATTACTTCTCAATTTTTTTTAGTATTTACCGTATTCTGCTTGGTTTTAATTATTTCACATCGCCAATCATTTTATCCTGAAGGGTATTATTACAGAACCATCTTAAACACAACCTTTTTTAGATTCAGTTCCTAAAAGTAATACATCTTGACAATATAGGGGGTTCAAAATGTGTCAGTAATTACTGTATTATGAACATTTATATTAGTTATGACAAAGGTAACACCTGTACATTTGGGATCACATCATGTAGGAATGTATTCCCCCCTTGAGATCTGATCAAAACATTTCAACTCTCAGAAAATACAGGTATATATCACATTTCAAATAAACACCTATCATTTCTATAATAATTTAATATTATCATCTCTGTTGAAAAGTTTTCACAACAGCACTTCTACCAGTACATATAATTATATTATTCTCACCACTTTATGATCAGACTGGGAATGTATATCTCAATACTCTGAAGTTTGGGAATATCTATGTTTTCTTCTTTTCATGTTTCAATCCATCTAGGAATCATTCAAAATTACTTTTAAGTGAATCAATTTCTCTACCTTTTTGACTTCAGATAAAATAAATTAACTACAGTAAAAGCACATGTAGTTAATGTAAATCACAGATATGTCAAAATTTTCATAAAATTTGAAATGACCATTCGTAGCGACTTAACTTTATAATTTGGAAAAAATATCATCAAATGTCTCTTTTCGGTTCTAGTATCTGTACATATATATGTGCTCATCATAAGCTGTTGGCTGTGACAAAGAAAATATACTTTTTTCATAAAGAGGAATCATTCTCTTTTTAGAAGACTACACTGGAATGGTATTTCTAAAATTCTGTAAACATTTATGGCATATAATATGCACATATAAGCAAAATTAAATGAAGCAAATATTTTTACTGTTTGAAAAAATTTAAAGCTGGAATGTGCTTGCATCCAAAGCAAAGCTCACAATTCTTCTAACACCACAACTTGAAGTATTAACCTTACTCTTGTTTTCAAAATGATTCCGGCTATCAGGTGATATATATAAGAGTGTTAATTCTCACGTTCGCCCAAGTGTACAGTTAGTGCAGGTTTAAATAAATCATCTAAAATACATGTTGAAATTAAGAATATAAACTTAATCCCTGGAAATATCCACGTTTAAATAAATCATCTAAAATACATGTTGAAATTAAGAATATAAACTTAATCCCTGGAAATATCCACGTTCTGACAATCTCTGTGGGTCCTCCGTGGGTCCACCTTGTAGTATGTAAATCCAATTAAGTGTTGTGTTTTCAGGCACGAGGTTCATAATGTGTTGGTCTTTTTATAAATAAATATTTTATAAATTTTATAATAATTGTCTTGAATAGCAATAGAATTTATAAGAAAAAAATCATGTATTATTTTGTATTATTAGTAGTATTACTTTCGCCCTTTATCAAAATACATAAATGAATAAAATTAAAAGGAAAAACAAAACTTTCTACTTATTTGTTTATTTTTATTTCATTTATTTTATTTAAATTAATTTTTAAAAATAAGTTGCAGCTAAAGTAAAAAAAAATACAAGGCTGGAAATGAAAAATGAACTGCAGAACAAAACGTCATTCACTTCGAGAACACATGAAAGTTACCAGTTAGTTATTTCATCTTTGCATCACACAAACAACCTCAAGGTCACCGTACACCTTAACCTCTTCCTCCATTTCTCTTGTCGTTGCCAAAAAAAAAAAAAAAAATTAACATTAAAATAATGACGAATGAAATAAAAAGTAAAAAGTTATTTTTATTTTTAAGTATTTTGATTAAGGGCGAAAATAATACTACTAATAATACAAAATAATACGTGATTTTTTAAAATAAATTTTATTGCTATTAAAGACAATTATTATAAAATTTCTAAAATATTTATTCATGTAAGTTTTAACGCAAAGGATGCCTGAATTCAACAGAAGCGCAAATGGATGGCCAAATGATTGTAAAACATCTATAAATTTGAGGTGGCCNACTAATAATACAAAATAATACGTGATTTTTTAAATAAATTTTATTGCTATTAAAGACAATTATTATAAAATTTCTAAAATATTTATTCATGTAAGTTTTAACGCAAAGGATGCCTGAATTCAACAGAAGCGCAAATGGATGGCCAAATGATTGTAAAACATCTATAAATTGGAGGTGGCCTACATGGATCAAACACCATTCTTCACCACCTGTCGCCAGAGGTCACTGAAAGTTTACATTGGCAACCGGTCGACCTTGAAAAATTGGTCGCCCTTTCCGCGAGTGTTCGACTATATGGCGTGCTGTTGCGTCAGTGAAGTAGGAAGCTGAAATAAAGAGACCAAAACTTTATGAACCTCGTACCTGAAGGTACACAAAAACACTTTTAATTGGATTTACATGCTACAAGGTGCAACGGAGGACCCACAGAGATTGTCAGGTCGTGGATATTTCCAGGTACTTAACTGTCTGAAGGTTTTTGTACATACTGCAATGAGGCCTTACCGGCGGTAAGGGTACCGTGAGCTTGTAAGTCCGGAAACTGAGGCAACTAGGAAATAGATCGATCCAAAGTTAGTACGATAGACCTGGGAATGGTCTCTAATTGAAAGATGATTTAATAAGCTACCCTCACAACCCTCATCGTCTCTGGCACAAGATTTCATCGCCGTGTAAGATGACGTGGTTTGTTATATTTGTATAAAACCCAGACGCAGTGTTTCCCAGTCCAACCAAAGACAGAAATGCATGTTATTGTACAACCATTGAGTGTGTGTAAACCTAACTGAACTAACTATTAAGAGTCATGGCATCCAAGAAGTTCTACGAAGGCTTCAGTGACAATTTTCTAACGTGTCACATCTGTCTTCACGAGTATAAAGACCCGCGTGTCCTCCCATGCTATCATACTTTCTGCTTGGCTTGTCTTGCCCAGCACGTGGCAGCGAGTGGGACAGGACGCAACATCACGTGCCCAGTGTGCCGCCAGGAGGCGCCTGTTCCACCAGGTGGACTGGAGAATCTTGTCCGTAACTTCTTTTTGTCCAAGGTGAAGGACTTTATGTTGACAGCAGAAAGTAAAGACAAATTGTGTGGGAACTGTCACTCACAAGTTGCTCAATTTTACTGTCAAGATTGCAAACATTTTTTCTGTGAGAACTGTCGACAAAAACAGCATGACGCTATAAAATTTCTGCAGGGACACACAATGATGTCGGTGTCTGACTTTGGGAAGCAAGTCCAAGAAATGAAGGGAGTAACATTATTTTGCGATAAGCATGAAGAAGAACGGTTGAAATTTTATTGCACAGATGACAATGTTGTTGTGTGTCGTGACTGTATTCTCACCAAACACAACAAACACAATTGTGTAGACATTGCAGATATAGCAGAAACGCAAAAAGAGAAAATACAAAGTGCATTTCATGATCTGTCTAAGAACATTTCACTATTTGAAAATGCAGAGTCGGAAATATCCAAACAACAGGAAGATGCGACTTACGACAGAAACAAGACTGTGACCGACATACAACAACAAGGAGCGTATATTAAAAAAGACGTTCAGCAAATTTCTGATCAGTTGACCGCAAAAGCAGAAGCCCTCACTGAAGCTCGTTTAAAATTCCTCGAGGCTGAGAAAGACCGCATTCAACTACAGAGGGTATCCATTCAAAGTACTTGCGAGTTCGCCAAACACCTTGTCAAACATGGCTCCCACACGGAGGTTATGACACACGCTAAAAATATCCAAGCTAGGATGAAAGAACTGAACAGTGTTAAACCTTCTGTACCGGAAAGAACAACCGCGATCACTTTTAGGAAAGAAAAACTTCCTGCGGACTTCTTTGGTTGCGTGAAGGAGTTAGAATGGCTAGATGCTGCATCCTTAGTGGATAAGTTTGATAGCAGCATCGGATATTTATGGAACATATCATGCAGTCATAGTGGGACGATATGTTTAGTTTCTTACAAATCGAAAAAACTTCAGGTAATATCACCATCTCATAAGGTGATATTTCAGGTTGATGTACCAGACCCCAGGGGTGTCACCGTGCTCCAGGATGACAGACTGGTGGTTACATGTAAGGATGGATGCCAAGTGTATTCCTCCTCTTGGAAACATGTCCAAACATTTGGTCAGGGTGACATGTCTACACCCTGGGGTGTTACAGCGGACAACAATGGGCGCATATTTGTCTGTGATAGGACCAATAAATGTATCTGTGTGTATGACGCTGTGCAGTACAGTTTTATCAATAAGATCAGTGTTCCTATTTGTAAAGATCCACGATACATTGCAGTGCTCCCATGCCGTGACATCATTGTGGTGAGTAACTATGATGGACAATGGCTTTATGGAGTGACCCCCCGGGGTGCTGTAGTGTTCAAGTATGGTACACCAGGTGAGGAAGTCTCAGGTGATGGAGACCTGAACAAGCCCTGGGGAGTGTGTACAGACAGCGCGGGGCACATCTTCATTGCTGACCCGTGGAATAACAGGGTGGTTGTTCTGACCTCAGATGGTCAACTATTGAGGGACGTGGTGGGTCCACAACAGGTTTCACTACCAGTGGGTGTGACCATTGATAACAAAGGACAGCTTGTAGTGGGGGAGTGGAGAGGCAAGGTGAAAACATTTCGCTATGTTCTTTGACTACAATATAAGTTGTATTACAAACGTTATCAGGCGACATCACAAAAAGTGAACAATTGCAGGAGCACTTCGTGAAAATAAATATTTTTAATGTTTGGAACCACAAAGACGAGTTGCTTTATTATAACAGATTGAAAAAAATATTGAAAGAAAAATGAAGTTGGAAAAACCTATCATACGCGGGAGTTGAAATTCGATACGTGGAAATATAATTGAATACCGAAAATTCAATTTAGCAACTGACCGACGTTGTGGTTTGAACCTTTTATTTATACTTATCATTCTTATTATACTGGATGACTAACAACATTCACCCAATCCATGGCATTGTTCATGAAGTTATTGTTTTCATATTCCGGGTCTTTGTCTATTTACCTAGAGACATATCTGTGAATATATGTGAAAAATCAAACTGTTGCCCTTGTAGAGGGTACCATTATGGCATTTATTAATCTTAAAAAAAAAAAAAAAGAATCAGCTGCTCTTTCGTCTGCAACAGAGACGAAAATTCGTTTCTCACTTTCAGATGGCGCTACAGTATTTTACTTGTGTCAAACATGCGAAAAGTGTTCAAATAAAAGCATGCAATGGACCATAAAAGGCAGCCAGTGACCTACAGAATGTCGTTGCAGTGTGGGTTGGGGCGAGCCTGGAATCCTGTTTTCCTCTGATATATTTTCAAATATACCAACGACGAACGCGACAGTACGTTGTTCGTATTTTTATGTTTGCAAATTTTAATTTCAGTTTCATATGTCAGATATGAAGCGAGTGTTGAATAGAAAAGCTGCCCATTCATCCTTCCTTCTCCCCCATGGTTCTAATTGAACCTACACTTTAAAAAAATACGTCACTTCTTCAGTTCGGTATGAGCCGGTAGTGGCGGCTGTGCTGTGTGGATCCTAAGTATACGGAGGCCCGTAGCCGGGGGGGGGGGGGGGGGGGGGGGGGGGTGGGAAGAAACGCCCCCTTTGCTGGGGAAAGGGCCACTCTGGGGAAAATTTGATCTAGGGACATGAAGTTTTTTTGGGGAAAAGNACTCATTGTATTTTAATGTTTTAAATCATCTCTTTTTCTTACTATCAAATAATTAGCCAGGAGTCGGTATGTAACTCCACATACATATTTGCAAGTTTAACATTATAAAATAAATAAACTGCACTGCAAGAGTAAATATATAAAGTAACTTCATAGACAATAAACCCCGGGACTAATAAACTGAAGTGCCTCCTGGTGCGGCTTACAGCCCGGTGACTCCGGCTATCAGGACAAGTGAGTTGTGTTCTCACGTACACCCTCTTCTGTACAAGTTAGTGCACGTTTTAAGATACACATTAAACGCCATCCCCTTTGTACAATTTGTTTTCCTGTGAATCCCATTCACTTTCTATAATAACTAACCTTGACCATCGATTAAAAGTTCCTTAAAATTACAGGTGGAAACACCGATACTTCACCTTGAGCCTTTCATTTATTTGATATTTCCTTTTTTTCTTTTTTGTATTTTGTACTGTAAAAGTTCTAAGAGCATTGTGTGCATTGAAGAGAATCGTTGGAAAATATTTGAAAAATAACAAATTCCGGGTAAATTGGAACTGGCGGGCGAGGAAGGTAATAACTGCTTAATGATTTACACTCTCCTGTCCTTGTATTGAGCAGTAAAACATGTCCCTGTAATAAATGTTATCAGAGAGCCTATATAGAATAACTTCACAGACGATGATCAACGCCTGGGTTAATAAACTAGCCCAGTTCTGCTATCTCCTGTAACAAGTGCCTCGTGGTGCGGCCTACAGCTCAGGTGACCCCAGCTATCAGGACGAGTGAGGTGTGTTCTCGCGTACGCCCCAGTGTACAGTTAGTGCACACATTTAACGCTATCCTCTTTTTACACTTTATTTTCTTGTTAATTCCAGTCGTTTTCCGTGATATTTACTTGAGCGATAAAGGAAAAGTTCCTCAATTATCCAGGTGGTAATTATCAGTGTTTATTTTTCACTTTGAACTTTTTACTTATTTGATATTTATTCATGTTTTGTATCTTGTTATATAAAAGCACTGCATGGATTAAAGCGAATAGTTTGAAAGTTCCAAAATCCCTTGAAATTAGCTGTTAATTATTTTCTGGGAGGAAAGGTAATAACAGCTTAATCATTGGCGACGTCCTGCCCCAGTATTGAGCAGTAAACAACATGTCCTTCGACCTTGACAAAACTGTTATTAGAGAGTCGGGGTGAATGTAGAGCAACTTGAAACACAATATCAGCGTCTGGGTAATTAACTGGCCCATTTTGCAATCTCTTGTAAAAAGTGCCTTGTGGTGCGGCGTACAGCTCAGGTGACTCCGACTATCAAGACGAGGGAGGTGTGTTGTCACGTATGCCAAAGTGTACAGTTAGTGCAGGTTTAAATGAACCATCTAAAATACATGTTGAAAATAAGAATGTAAACCAAATCCCTGGAAATGTAATTAAACTTAATAATTGGATATCATACAAGAGCGCAAGTATAATTTTCACGGTTTTATGGACATGATTTATTTTCAATATTATTATGAGAATGAGGAAATATAAAATCGGGATATTCCCTAAATTAAATCTTTCAAAGATTGAACTGCGTGGCTTCTCGAAACGGAAGGCTGTTTTTAGCGCAAATCCGAAAGTGACATAGATATGGGGGCTTGCCAGAATAACAGATAGACCTGTAAAACAAAAAATTCAAATTTGGCACTTACTTATATCAAATATTGTCTCTTATCATGTTTACCAGGTATAAATTACATACACGTAAATATTTGATTAAATCGGGTGATTCTGTAACAGTCCATGGGTCCAAGGAGGGTGGCAATAGGACAATACGATAAATAAGAAGCTTAAACTGCGACTAGATCTAAAATTGTGGCGACTTTAAAAGTTGTTGGTCATCCTATCATGATGCATGTATTATTCAGAAAAATAAAACGCCCACGAGATGCTCGATAAATTGGGAAGATTTTGTTGATAAATGTACATTGGCTGACTACAACTGAAGTTATTTAGAACTGACTGAAATTTTCACAATTTCTCTTTCCATATAATTTATTCAAGAATGAGCTTTTTCCCGATTAAAGGAGTGGTAAGCTCGTAAATATTACTCATATTAAAGGCCAATTAACTGCATCATAGGAAAATCAAAATGCAATGTAATTGAAAGGCGATTAAATAAGCTACTCTCGCAACCCTCACCGTCTCTGGCACACGATTTCGTCACCGTGTAAGATGACGTGGTTTGTTGTTTCTTGTATAAAACCCAGACGCAGTTTTACCCAGTCCAGTCAAAGACAGGAAATGCCAAGAGAACGCGACATCATGAAGTGATGAGACTTAGTATGCAGCCTTTTGGCTGTGTGTAAACCTAATTGAACTTAGAGTCATGGCATCAAAGAAGTTCTACGAAGGTTTCAGCGACAACTTTCTAACGTGTCACATCTGTCTTCACGAGTATGAAGACCCGCGTGTCCTCCCATGCTATCACACTTTCTGCTTGGCTTGCCTTGCCCAGCACGTGGCAGCGAGTGGGACGGGAGGCAACATCACGTGCCCAGTGTGCCGCCAAGAGGCGCCTGTTCCACCAGGTGGACTGGAGAAACTTGTCCGTAACTTCTTTTTGTCCAAGGTGAAGGACTTCATGTTGACAGCAAAAAGTAAAGACAAATTGTGTGGGAACTGTCACTCACAAGTTGCTCAATTTTACTGTCAAGATTGCAAACATTTTTTCTGTGAGAACTGTCGACAAAAACAGCATGACGCCATAAAATTTCTGCAGGGACACACAATGATGTCAGTGTCTGACTTTGGGAAGCAAGTCCAGGAAATGAAGGGAGTAACATTATTTTGCGATAAGCATGAAGAAGAACGGTTGAAATTTTATTGCACGGATGACGATGTTGTTGTGTGTCGTGACTGTATTCTCACCAAACACAACAAACACAATTGTGTAGACATTGCAGATGTAGCAGAAACGCATAAAGCGAAAATACAAAGTGCATTTCATGATCTGTCTAAGAGCATTTCACTATTTGAAAATGCAGAGTCGGAAATATCCAAACAACAAGAAGATGCGACTGACGACGTAAACAAAACGGTGGCCGACATACAACAACAGGAGGCGGATATTATCAAAGAGGTTCAGCGAATTTCTGCTCAGTTGATAGCGGAAGCAAAATACCATGCTGCAACGAACATAAAATCCTTCGAGGCTGAGAAAGATCACCTCCAACTACAGAAGGTATCCATTCACAGCACTTGTGAGTTTGCCAAGCAGCTCGTCCAACAAGGCTCCCACACAGAGGTGATGATACACGCTAAGAATATCCAAGCAAGGATGAAAGAATTGAGCAGTGTAAAACCCACAGTACCGACAAAAAACACACTCACTTCTACTGAAGAAAAAATTCCAGTGAAATGTTTTGTTCTTAGGAAGAAGTATAAATGGCTAAATACTGCATCTTTGGTGGATGAGTTTGATAGCAGTATGGAAAGTTTGTGGGACATATCGTGTAGTCAAAGTGGGACAATATATTTAGTTTCTTACCTATCCGGTAATCTTACAGCAATATCACCATCCCATAAGGTGATATTTCAGGTTGATATACCAAGTCCCAGGGGTGTCACCGTGCTCAGTGATGACAGACTGGTGGTTACATGTGATGATGGATGCCGAGTTTTTTCCTCAGGGAAATATGACCGAACATTTGGTCAGGGTGACATGTCTTACCCCAAGGGTGTTGCAGTGGACAAGAATGGACACATACTTGTCTGTGACGCGAGCAATAAATGTATCTGTGTGTATGATGCTGTGCAGTACAATCTTATCAATAAGATCAGTATTCCTATGTGCAAAGAACCAGAATACATTGCAGTGCTTCCAGGTCGTGACACCATTGTGGTGAGTGACTGTTATGGACACTGTGTATATGGAGTGACCCCACAGGGTGATGTAGTGTTCCAGTACGGTACACCAGGTAAGAAAGGTTCAGGTGATGGATACCTGGACCAGCCGTGGGGAGTGTGTACAGACAGCGCGGGGCACATTTTTATTGATGACCAGTGCAATAACAGGGTGGTTGTCCTGACCTCAGATGGTCAACTGTTAAAATACGTGGTGGGTCAACAACAGTTTTCTATACCACGGTGTGTGACCCTTGATACCAAAGGACAGCTTGTAGTGGGGGATATTAGAGGCAAGGTGAAAACATTTCGCTATGTACTTTAACTACAAGTTAAGTAGCAGACCCGTAGGCAGGGGAGGTTTGGGGGGTTCGAAAGAACCGCCCCTTTTGTCAGGAAAAGGTCCATTTTGGGTAAATTTTGATCTAGGTACACATACGTTTCATTGTTAAAAGTCCACTTTTTTCAGAAAAAGAACCCCCCTTTTGAATTTGCTGGATACGGGACTGAGTAGTATATGAGGCGTTACCAGGCGACAACTCAAAAATTGAACTGTTTCAGGTGCACTACGTGAAAATCGTTGATTGGGACCAAAAAGACAAGCTGTTTTATTATGACAGACATATTGAAAGAAAAACAGAGATGGAAAAAACTATATGTAGCATACGAAAATATAGGGGGATTTGAAATCATTTTTATATGTGGACTTAAATTCCATTCATTACCAAGTTTAACTAATGTATAGACAAGTTACAGGTACAAGTCTATATTTGAGCCCTGATTTTGGTTCAGATATTTATTGGAACGGATCATGTAATACGATACGCATTGCGATTCTTCCTTTATTACGTCAAATGTACCGGGGGTATTATCTCTTGCACGTTTTCTTCAATTTTACAAATAAATAATTTCGTTTCACAGCTATTTTGTTTCGACATGCTTTTATCTTCAGCGTTCAAAGCAGCGCAACAGAATCGGCATCATATGCCTTAAGTATTTAGATTTTTTAATGATTACTTAGCAATGATTACTTCGTAAAAAAAAACTACTTTAAAGGTAACAAGGACGCGAATCAGGCATACTGCATCACCATGCGTCGTCCCTGCGGGGGTATAGTCATTAAATTTCGGCTCCATTGGGACGTCACATGGGGAGGCGTGTGAGTGGCGGAGAGACTATTTAAGATTAGGCGGTTTTCCTTTCATGTACGTCCGCCATATTTAGGTCGTGGCTTTGTAGAGCCATGGCTCAACTCGATGTGAATGCGGCCTAAAACTTACATTTACAACTGACCGACGTTGCGGTCTCAACTTTTTATTCATACTTCTCATTTTTATTCTGCTGAATGACTAGCAGCATTAACCCAATCCCATGCGTTGTTGATGAAGTGATTACATTCATATTCCGGGTATTTTTAAAACATTAAAACTTACAGCATAAATTAAATTGATTCAAATTTATACAGAATTTAAAAATTCATTCATAAAAGGGAATATCTTTGTGGCATAGGCGCTCGGGTTCGTTTCTAAGAAAGGCATGTTACAGAAGATAAATAATGTAGATATTCTATCTGGAAAAATATTTATTATGAAAACTATTGTACATTCACAAAAGTGCATCTATTCATTCCACACCCTTTAAATAATTAATCTAAAACAATCAGCTGCTCTTGCGATTGCAGCAGAGACGACAGTTCTTTTTTCGCCTCCAGATGGCGCTACAGAATTTGTTACTTTTGTCAAACATGGGGAAACTTTTCAGATAAAAGCATGCAGTGGAGCATATAAGGCATTCAGTAAACTTCATAATATCGTCCCAACGAGGGGTGGGGTGTGCTGTGTGGATACTAAATATATAGTTTTAAAAGTCCCATTATAACATTTAGAGGATCAATCTTAAGCATTTGATAACAATTTAGTTGTGTGTGTGTTGGAATCAGTCTGTCGATGGAGTACTCATTGCATTTTGATGTTTGAAATCATCTCTATTTGTTACTATCAAAGAATTAGCCAGGAGTTGGTATGTAACTCTGTAGACATGATACGGTTTTCATTCTGTTCTTTTGCACAGGATGAGACATTCACAGCAGGAACGAACACCTTTCAACCCCTCTGACCAGGGCAATTTTTGTACAGTCCTAACTGCAGGTGGTCAGGTTGTATTATTTTAAAATAAATAACAAGTGAGATTCCAAATGTGTACATCTCCTGTATCGCACACAAATGACTATACATGTATATTTGTACCGTTTTATCACATATTAAACTGAAATAAAAACCACATACATACTTACAAGTTTAACATTATAAAACAAACCAACTGCACAGTAAGGGTCAATACCCTGGTATATAGAGTATCTTCATAGACAGTCAGAACCGGGGTTAATATATAAGTCCAGTTCTGCTATCTCTTGTAGCAAGTGCCTCCTGGTGCGGCGTACATCTCAGGTGACTCCGGCTATCAGGACGAGTGAGGTGTGTTCTCACATACGCCCTCTTCTGTACAAGTTGCTACATGTTTTAAGATACACATTAAACGTCATCCTGTTTATACAATTTTTTCCTGTTAATTCCAGCCACTTTCAATAACATTTGCCTTGACGATACCGTTATACCGTTATACTGATTTTTTACATTGAGCTTTTTATTTATTTGATATTTACTTTTTTGTCTTTTGTAATATAAAAGTTTTAAGCGCATTGTGTGCATTTAAGAGAATCGTTTGAAAATATTTGAAAAATACCAAAACCCGGGTAAATTGGTAGTGGTGGGCGTGGAAGGTAATAACTGCTTAATAATTTACAATTTCCTATCCTAGTATTGAGCAGTAAACAACATGTCCCTGAACAAAATGTTATCAGAGAGCCTATACAGAATAACTTCACAGACAAACAGCGCCTGGGTTAATTAACTAGCCCAGTTCTGCTATCTCTTCTAACAAGTGCCTCGTGGTCCGGCGTTCATCTCAGGTGACTCCGGCTATCAGGACTAGTGAGGTGTGTTCTCACGTACTCCCAAGTGTACAGTTAGTGCAGGTTTTAAGGCACACATTTAACGCCACCCCCTTTATACAATTTATTTTCTTGTTAATTCCAGCCACTTTCCATAATATTTTACCTTGACGATAAATTAAAATTCCAGGTGGTAATACCGATACTGACTTTTCACCTTGAGCCTTTTATTTATTTGATATTTACTTTTTTGTATTTTGTTATATAAAAGTTTTAAGCCCATTGTTTTTACTGAAGAGAATCGTTTGAAAATATTTGAAAAATAACAAAATCCGTGTAAGTTGGTAGTGTCAGGCGAGGAAATTAATAACTGTCTAATAATTGACACTATCCTATACTATTATTGAGCAAAAACCAAAATGTTATCAGAGAGCCTTTATAGAATAACTTCACAGACAATCAGCACCTGGGTTACTAAACTAGCCCAGTTCTGCTATCTCATGTAACAAGTGCCTCGTGGTGGGGCGTACAGCTCAGGTGACTCTAGCTATCAGGACGAGTGAGGTGTGTTCTCACGTACACCTTAGTCTACAGTTAGTGCACACATTTAACGCTATCCTCTCTATACAATTTGTTTTCGTGGTTATTCCAGCCAATTTCCGTAATATTCCCTAACGAAAAAGTCTTATAGGATCCTATAAGATCCTATAGGAAATTGGGCAAATTTCTTATAAAATCCTATAGTATTTTATGGGATCCTATAGGACTTTTTTGTAAGGGATATTTACTTTAGCGATAAAGGGAAAGATTCTCAATAAACTAGATGGTAATTTTCAGTGTTTACTTTTCATTTTGAACTTTTTACTCATTTGATATTTATTCATGTTTTGTATTTTGTAATATAAACCCAGCGGGCAAATTATGTTGTTTTAACGTTGAAACAACGTTGAACCATAAAGTTGATAAGATGTTGGATAAACGTTGGATTTGAAAGTTGTGTCAACCTCAGATAACAACGTTGTATCAACGTCAGAAAACAATGTTATATCAACCCCACCCAGCGGGAAATTTGCCTGGATGTGTTTATCAGTAGGACATGTTTGATGGCTAAATATATGTAGGGTATAAATGTATGGCCTTTAAGTTAAAATTTCCAAGGTTTAGATTAATATATATCTTTTCTTACATTTATATATAAGAAGATAACTACAACCATATATATATATATATATATA